ACCACCACCAAAGTTTCCAGAACCACTTCGACCTCTTTGGCTGGATGAAGCACTAGCCATCTCTTGCTTTGACAGGGCTTTCCTAACTTCACAGTTGTGGCCATTCACAGTATGGTATTTCTGAATGACAATCTTATATACCACGGAGTCATGGTCATCAAAGGTTACAAAAGCAAAGCCCCTTTTCTTGCCACTGCCTCTGTCAGTCATGATTTCAATCACTTCAATTTTTCCATACTGTTCAAAATAATCTCTTAGGTGATGTTCTTCAGTGTCTTCTTTAATGCCACCAACGAATATTTTTTTCACAGTTAAGTGGGCACCTGGTCTTTGAGAATCTTCTCTTGAGACAGCTCTCTTTGGTTCCACAACTCTTCCATCCACCTTGTGTGGCCTTGCGTTCATGGCTGCATCCACTTCCTCCACAGTTGCATACGTGACAAACCCAAAGCCCCTGGAGCGCTTGGTGTTTGGATCTCTCATTACCACACAGTCTGTGAGCGTTCCCCATTGCTCAAAATGGCTCCTCAGGCTCTCATCGGTTGTTTCAAAGCTCAACCCTCCAATGAAGAGCTTCCTCAGCTGTTCCGGCTCTTTAGGAGACTCTGACTTAGACATGATCGCAGGGAGAAGAGAGACTTTAACGATGCTTCTTCGGCGGCGTCCACGGGCAAAAAGGCCTAGGACCTCTTTTTATCATCCTCCTGAGCATCCCTTTTATTTCTCTCGTGTTGAATTGCTTCTTACCTGCATCCTATTTCTTCCTCTTTACTCTTAATTCACACCCTTTTGCTTTCCTCTTATTCTGGTGGAGCCAATCTTCTTGAAACTTCTTGAGAACATTTTTCAGACATTTTATGTCTAAAAAAACTTTTTTTTTTGTTTGAGATGGAGTCTCACCCTGCCACCCAGGCTGGAGTGCAGTGGTGCAATCTTGGCTTACTGTAACCTTTGCCTCCTGGGCTCAAGTGATTCTCCTGTCTCAGCCTCCTGAGTAGCTGGGATTACAGATATGTCTCACCACGTCCGGCTAATTTTTGTATTTTCATTAGAGATGGAGTTTCACCATGTTGGCCAGGCTGGTCTCAAACTCCTGACCTCAGGTGATCTGCCTACCAAACTGCTGGGATTACAGGTGTGGGCCACTGCACCCAGCCATAAAAACCTTTATATTTTTATTTTCAGAGATAGGGTCTTGCTCTGTCACCCAGGATGGGATGCAGTGACGTGATCATAGTTCATGGTAACCTTGAGCTCAAGGAATCCTCCTGCTTCAGCCTCCCAAGCGGCTAGGATGACAGGTATGAGCCACTATGCCTGGATTTTATTTTAAGTTTATACTTGATTGATAGCTTAGCTGACAATATATTTCTAGTTGGAAGTTGTTAGTCCTCAAAATTTTGAAGGCATCATTTCACTTTCATTGTGCTGGATTGTCTGTTGTCCACCTGTGCATCCCCATTATCCCTTCTAGAATCCGCTCTGTATTAAAGAAGAGAAACTTGTAGTTACATGTGCCAGAATCCCCTCCTTCGTTTGATTCCAAGTTGGAGTTTGCCAATGAGATGCACTTGCATGAGAAGGAAATAGAAAAGAAAAAACCATTATTCAACAGAGGCAGTTGAAGGCAGACACATGGGCTGAAGGCAAGCTCTTGAGAGTTTCCTGTTTTGGTGCTGTCAGAAGCTGGGATTGAAGGCAATGGCTTACCTTAGATTGCTGAGATTTTTCCATGGATTGCAGTAAAGTTCTGTGGATCACTTTCTTCTACTGGCTGCTCTCCTGCCTGTCACATCCTCAACACCTAGTTCTTTTTGTTCGGAGATGGAGTCTTGCTCTGTCACCCAGGCTGCAGCACAATCTCAGCTCACTGCAACCTCCATTCCCAGGTTCAAATGGAGATTACAGGCATGCACCACCATGCCTGGCTGATTTTTGTATTTTTAACAGAGACAGGGTTTCGCTATGTTGTCCAGGCTGGTCTTGAACTCCTGGCCTTAAGTGATCCACCTGCCTCGGCCTCCCAAAGTGCTGGGATTATCAGTGTGAGCCATCACGCCCAGCCTCAACACTTAGTTCTATGAACCTTTGATTTCCTCTGTTAGTGCTCTTCCTGTTTCTGCACCAAGAGTGGCTTCTGTTCTCCTGGTCAAATCCTAATTTGTTGTATTAGTCCATTTTCATATTTCTATGAAGAAATACCTGAGATTGGATAATTTATAAAGAAAAAGAGGTTTAATGGTCTCACAGTTCCAAATGGCTGGGGAGACCTCACAATCATTGTGGAAGGCAAAGGAGGAATAAAGACACATTTTACCTGATGGCCGGCAAGAGAGTGTGTGCAGGGAAACTGCCCTTTATGAAACCATCAGATAGCCTGAGATTTATTCATTATTTCGAGAACAGCATGGGAAAAACCCATCCCCATGATTCAATTACTTCCCGCCATGTCCCTCCCATGACACATGAGAATTAGGGGAACTACAATTAAAGATGAGATCTGGTTGGGGACACAGCCAAATCATATCAGTTGTCTTGCTCTCAGCATCACTGTTGAGGTATCTGAAGTGATATCGATTCCTGATATTTTATGTGTGACCCTTTTGTTCCTCCCGGGGGGTTGATAGAATCATCTCTTTGTCCCTTAGTGTTTTGAAATTCCACGATGATGTTTTGTGAGTGGTTCTGTTTTTGTCCATGGTGTATGGTTCCCAGAGAGGCCTTTTTTTTTTTTTTTTTTTTTTTTTTTTTTTTTTT